GCATTAGAGAAACGGGTTTTTTCCCCGAATTTTCTAAGTAGAAAGAGCCATCACTTGTAGACGAGCAGAGAATTTTTTCTTGAATAAGTTTTTGAATAACTGAGACCAAATAAATAATACCTCCAATCCTTTTTAGGCGTCTGAAACTAAAGTTTAGGACGAGCCATTGTCATCCATTGGAAGTCGTTGATGAATAGAAGGGTGCCATTTTTTTTTGTTTGAACAGATGTGTGACCACCCATTAGCACACTTCATGGCGACAACTTATAAGGGCGATCTCTCACACATTCAACCAAGCCGCTTCAATCGTTTGCCTCCAGTTTGATTTTGCCTCCAAAAAATACCACTATCACATAGGATGATACCCTGGGGGCCGCAAATCAGTGTGGGAATCCCTGTAGAAGAAACCCCTGGGTTGTTCCCCCGAAATCTGGGCTCCAATAAAAGAATGTCGATTAACAATAACTAATCGTAAGCTCTTCATGGCTCTCCAGGCAGATATTTCGCAATCTCAGGGTGTTGGTTAGGAGATCCGCAAGTTGCTCTGGTGTCAGGCGGCATTCGCACCAGGACCGCAGCATGTCGAGCCTAGTAACCACGAAGTACTCCGACTCATTACAGACCTGGGCACTTCGTGGACTGTGGATCCCCCGGTGCTCGTATTTGGTCGCTGCGGGAGCAGCCGCACTTGACCCAAGGGAACCTGAATTCTGATTGTTCTGATTGTTTCTCAAGAGCTCTAGGCGCATTTACTCCTTTCTGGTCATCGGCATGGCAAAACTGCTGTTTCTGATAGGGAGTGTATACCCTACCCACACCCTTCTCTCGATAGCATTTCATAGGAAAGCTTGGTGCTTACGAAAGGGTTCAAAAAGAGTCATAGAAGAGGGGCCTTTTCAGAGGGATTCCTCTCCAACGGCAAGACCTGCCCTGTATCAAAACCTGAAAACTCTTCTATATTTGTTACAATGAATATTTGCCAACAATTGACGAATTTCAGGTGCTAAAATTCAGTATCTACTCGTAAATTTAGGTAAACAATGCTGCGTGTTGTGGTCGCCTGTTTCGCCTTGGTGTCGTCGGTTTCGGCAACTGCCTTCACGGACATGAACTGCACGAATGGTGATTCTGCAGCTCCAGCGGTATGTCGAGCAACTGTTTTCATAATGCGAATGGAAATCGTAGAGTTAGGGCAATTGGTGGATGGGAACCTGCTGGAGCCAGTTTTTGCCACATACACTCCATATCCCGACGATGGGGAGGGAGTGGCTCCCACAACTTGTTAGCGTTGTACCAGCTGCGCTTCTTTCAGTATATTTTCTTTTTTAGACACTTGCAATCATGCCTTTATCCGGCGCAATGTAGGATGTCAGCTGGTTCAAATAGAAATACCCTTCTAGCAATGTGTCCTACGACATGTTCGAATGAAGTGCGCAGCCACGCCCTCCCCACCTTCGGAGATTTGGACAGTAGAAGCAACTGGAACCGAAAGACATTCCATTGTTGCTGTGAAGAACATCCACATGCCGCGAACAAAGTCCAACAACAACTCGTGTGGATACGGTAGCGCAATTCTAAAAGTACCGCGCGAGTCGCCGGGGGCGACGTGAGCGATGCGACGGCGTTAGCTCACGATAGAATCTCGAGCAGGGCACTTCATAGTTGGGGATTTCCTAACAGACAGGGATCGCATTTGATCGCTGGGAGGGGATGGGGTCGCTTGGTCTGAGAAACTTTTTTTCGATAGTTGATTTTCTTGTTTCATGGACGCCATCAGGGGGAGGATCGTATCTGATCGTTGTCGTTGTTAGGGAGGGCGGGGGTCCTATTTGCCTCTGATGCCTCGATGTTGGAAGAAACACTTTTACGGTTCTGGTCTTTTCGCAGTTTTCCCTGCTTTACAGAGCTATATTCCCCCACCGCCACCGTCCCCCCTCCCTGCCCGACACCTCGGTCACAGGAGGGAACTATGACGTCATATTGCGCCACCTCTACCTCTAAGGGTCCACATCCCAACCAATGCACCCCTATAATCTCAAGCCTCCTTGGCACGCCTCAGCGTCTGAAACAATGTTCTTTTGCCTATGTTAAGATTTACAACTTATCCGCAAGGTCTGACGGTCTACTTGATTTCAGTTTCGCTCCATCCGCCACCGCATGCGAAGACAAGTACCTAGCAACAACATGTTCTACACTCTTCGGTACTGCTGTTGTAGCAGGAGGAACCACAGACAGAGATGCGAAATGCCTGACGGTAAGAGATTTGCAACACTTTCGATTTCATAAAAACACCCATACACACATCCCTTCAGGACGAAGACACTAAAGCGTTGGCCATAGATAGTTGCCCGAAAAGTTGCGGTTACTGCTGCATGACCCCTGAGTACGCATGCAAAAACGCCGAGTGTTCGTTTCTTCACTAATCTGTCTTCTGTAGGCAATAAGATTGAGAGCTAATGGCCTCTTCTTTAGTTCCACGTGTGAAGTGTTCAACTGTAACCGCGGCCCAGTGCAAGGACTCAACATGGAGACCAATTCTTGCCGAAGACTGTCCCAATGTCTGCGGATTCTGCCTTGAAGGTATAGCAAGTTCAAAAGCGTAAGGCACCGGTTCTTGCTGAAAATTAGTAGGGAAAATGACGAAAAAGCGAAGTTGAACGGCTGAAAACCTGCGAAAAAGCTCTCGTTCTGCTCAGCATTGGACGAGCATTTTTGGACGAGTTTCCCGTTGGCATTGTGCCAATAACCGCTCCCGCTTTGATACATATTATTACACGTACGAATTCATTTATCCATGTAGCAGCGCTTCATATCAATCGTACTTCATGAATGAAGCAGTAGTGTACCAGAGTCGATGTGACTGTCGGCCACATGTGGGCGGGCACCTTCGATGGGCGTCT